GAGACCTGCTGGATGTAATCTAGTTACTTTAGTCATTAAGCTACTACTCTCAAACAGTATAAACATTAGGTAAATCCACGAGCTATATGGGGTCAAATTGCTACGTCGATACAGTGGGATTAAATTATAGAGATGAATACGGGAGTATTTTTAATTCTGTATGTATACTAAGAGGATAACCTTATCATCATCCTATTCTGTATGATAAAAAGACACCATTCAGGCTCTTTAAAACCTGAACAGCAGTAGTGAAATCCCAAATTAATCATGATATAGTGTCAAACAGCATAGATGGGATTCACAGTATATTAAGATCGATGGTTGAGAATTGGTATACGATTTAGAAAAGGGTTTATTGTTTACAGCAGGTGAACTAACTAATCACTTTGGACTAGTGAACAGGTGTGATTCAGTACCACTGAAATTTTTTTCGACTCTGAGATACTTTCGGTATTAGCGACAATGAGAATGCCGAAACTAGAATAGATGGAACAAGGCTTTATCATCTAGTTTAATGGTTAAAATGAAGTGCTATATTCGCCAAATTACCATCAGTTAGATCATTAACTTTGTATTTATATTTTTTGACAACTTATTTCCTTCTGTTATAAGATCAACACAACAGACTAGTGGCTTTTACCTTATATCATACAAAATACTTCGACACAATAAACCGTTAAAAACTATTGAGGAAAACCTTACTTAACGCATAGTAAAAGCGAGTGTGGAACACTCCAAATAATCGCTTTCTCTAAAGCAGAAAATGTGTTTATAACTTCAATTGTTATATCAAGCATTCAGACAATAGGCCTTATTAGTAGAGAACTGAGCTAATAGAGTAAGAATGCTAAAAGTGAGAATAAATTCCACTCATGATCTTATAGCTTTATCGAGTTGATGGCACATTTTGTACGGATGGATTCTCCATGAAGCTTAAACAGTATGAGATAGATCTAAACAAAAGATATCATTGAGGACTTATTCGCACCGTTCACATTAAGTAGCGAGATTCCTGCAATCCAAAGATAAACGTTAAGACTGATACAAATTCCATTACCTTTGTCACAAAGCACTACATGAATTCACTTATGACTGGCCAGAAAGGGCTTCCAATGATAAAATATTGTTGTGACACCATCATTGACTCAACTATTGAGTAGGCTCGCCTTAATAGTTGTAGTAGCGATAGATCATTAGGTAACCAAGTAAATCAAATGTCCCTGAATTACAAATTTATGAGGGATGTCAACTACTAGTATTTTAAAATCTAAAGATGTAGATGAAGCGAATAATGGTTTTTCCTAGGCACTCGAGAGCACAGAACACCGTTATCTTTCTACCACCAGCAAAAAGACTTGTAGTTTTCTGTGTACAGATGAGTGACTATAAATACATGACGAGGCGATCACTCATACAGGACGAGTAAAATAAGAGTGACCGCTAAACCCAACCTGAATTATGAGTAAAACTTAGCTTACAGCATAAAATTGGTCCCGGCGTATTTCATCAGGAACATCCATGAATGTCTCGATAGGAGGAGCAACAGCACAAAATGCTGCAGCCTGTTCATCCGGCCAAACTGGTACATTAGGTGGTGGTGCCTGTATTGGCGGATTTGTATTTGGAGGCAGGTTTAAGAGACGTTCCAAATCATTCCCTTCGGCTGGAGGGGGTCTGTGCATTCGGCTAATTATTTCAGCCCTGGAACATAAGAGGTGCTCCAGTTTCGCACCAAAGGTAGTCCTGAAAAAAAAAGCATTGCACTTTAATGAAATTATCATTTCACTAGTAAAACCGTAGACAAATTAGTAATATAAAGTGATACGAAATAACCGTTAATCCTAGCCAAGAATGGGTACTTACATGATAGATGCACAAAGTCAAAACGTGCTGAACCGAAGGCCGATACACACTTAAACAATAAGGATAAGAAAACTTTCGTTAGAGCTTATGTTCTGTATCGAAACAACACATTATGAGGACATACGTTGCTTGAATTTCGGATTTTCGTGTGATTAAACGAAGATATCACTAAAATTGTTTTTCGGGATAAGCGCGCGTTTTGAGTTAACAGTCGTGACGTTAGCATTTCTATGTTTATTGGATCGATTTCAGCCTCAGTAATAAAGGTGAGGGTTCGGTCGACCTATATTAAACTTTGCATATTATTTTAAGTTTAGGTTCATCTTTTTAAAAGTGTTCACTTATGAGGCTAATACCACCTAATCGAGCACTCGATGAGAAAAATGGAATTTCATTTCGCGTTTATTCGATCATGGCTTATAAACTCTCTTGAAGTGGACTCAGAGAATGTTAGTTCTAGAGGAAGCAAAAAGTAAAGACATCTTGACATCTAAATAATTCCACATGATACAAAATTCCAACATAAGGTACGTATGTTTATATACAGGGGGGTAAACGGTGTTTCAAGCGTTCATCATAAGGGAGTTGGGTAAGACCCATCATTAGATTAGTTCCCACACGATTGGTAAGCTTAAGTGCTATATCATTCTTGTTAGACGTG